AGGTTTTGCTGCTCCTGTGTGTTCCCAGCTGGTTCCTGCTCCCAGCCCCTGGTGTTTGCTCCCCCAGGCCCGTTTTGTGCTGATCCTGCTGGTGGGCTCCTTCGATGTCGTGTGTGCCCTGGTGCTGATGCAGAGCCAGTCCATGATGGCCTTCAGGGTGGGGGGAGCCCTGGAGAGCCTCCAGGCCCAGTACTTCATGCTCAACCTCTGCTTCTCCATGCTCACCTTTGATCTGCAGGCACAGGTACAGAAATTCCCTTTTTCCCCTCTTCCTGATGATACCTTGGGCTGGCTGAGCTGAATTTTCCTTTCCAAAATCAACCCTCTCTCTTACCTTTATTATATTGTGGTGGTGCTCACAGGGCTCTGAGGATGTGGGAAGAGAGGAGGATCTGAATGTGTTTCATAAGGCTTGATTTATTATTAGTTATTGTTGATTTATTATTAGTTATTGTTGATTTATTATTAGTTATTGTTAGTTATTTTATGATATATATTCTATTAAAACTATACTAAAAGAATAGAAGAAAGGATTTCATCAGAAGGCTAGCAAAGAATAGAATAAGAAAGAATGATAAAGTTTTGTGGCTCAGACTCTGTCTCTCAGCTGACTCTGATTGGCCATTAATTAGAAATAACTAACATAGGCTAATCAAAGATTTACTTGTTGCATTCCACAGCAGCAGATAATTATTCTTTACATTTTATTCTTGAAGGCTTTCAGTTTCTCAGGAGAAAAAAGGAAAGGATTTTTCAGAAAATATCATGGCTACATTATATTAACTTAAACACATAGAGCTACTACCATTATTATCATAGCTTAGCTAAAATCCATCAAAATAAATAAAAATATATTTCATCATTGTCCTGCACAAAAGGAACTGATTTTGGGGAGGTTTATCCATTAAACAATTGCATTCAGGAGCTCCAGCACCCCTGAAGTGAGCAAGGCTGTTCCTGCCCATCTGAGGCTCCAGCATTGAGGAAATGATTCTGGAGTGGGAGAGGGGAACTCGACCAGCAGGGCAGTGAGACAGAAAATGAAATTACAGCTGGGGGAAGTGAAGAGCTGTTACCTCTGTAAGCACCCCTCACCCTTATTTACTGCAGCTTTACTTTGCTCTATCAGCTCTGTTATACAGGGAATGACTCTGTCCTTTGAGGAATAATTCAGCTTTCAGCCCCAGATGTTTTTTTTCCCAGAATGATTCCATGCAATGTTTGCTCCCCCAGCTGTGCCTGTGCATCCTCCTGATCAGCCTGCACGAGGTCACCCTGCTGCACAACATCCTCTCGGCCACGGGCGTGCTCTGGGGCTGCCTCAAGGTCACCGTGGGCATCACTGCAGTGAGTGGCACCTGCAGGGACACAGCCCCTGGCACTGCCAGGGAGGGGAGCCAGCATGGGGAGAAGCAGAGCAGCAGCAGGATTGAAGCCAGGTTTTGTCTGAATGCCCAGCTGAGCACAGGAATGAAACAGTCACCTCATCATCGGGCCATTCTGAGGGATTTAGTCTAGTTTGTAGTCTCAATCCTTGATCACTTCAGTGAAATCTGGAGGATCACACTGGCTTCAATATTTCTGCCTCTCTGCCAAGGCTGGGTGAAACTGGGAGTTCTCCAGGCCTTAAATCCTTGGGAACCCACACCAAAAAGAGGAGAGGTCCCTTTGTTGGGGCATCTCCTTCAAAGCTCAGGGACAATTTCCAGGTTAACCCAAAGATCTGTGAACTTGAAATGCCATTTTGAACCTCCTCTGAAATCTTGAATGATTGCAGCATCAGGGCCAAAGTACATCAGATAAGTGAGGTTTTTATTACCAGGAAGGAGTTGAGGGGTTTTTGGGGGTGGGTGTTGGTTTAGGCTGTTTGCTTTATCATTCACACAAATTCCTGACAGCTGAAATACAGCTGCCTATGTGTTTTGATGGCTTTCTTGCTAAAATTGTGCTTTTAAAACACATCAGTTTTGGGTTTGGGGGGATCAGATGCATCAAATGCAATCCTGACACTGGCACAGTCACTGCTCCCAGCCCCAGAGGCTCAGCTGCTTTTCCTTCCTTTGCTCAGACCTGCCCTCCCTGCCCAGGGCTGCTGCAGTCCCTTTCTTCCTTCCCAAGCCCTTGGGGGATTGTGAAATGAAATTCCCCTGGCACTTCAATCCTCCTGCTTCTCCCACATTTCCCTCCTCACTGACTGCAATTCTGTGTGGCAAAAAGAGAAGTGGAGAAAAAGCCTCAGGGAGCTTTCAGTCTGTTACCTGTGAAAAGATTCAGCTGCTGGAGAAAATCTGAGTGTGCCCAGAGAGAAAGGGCAGGGAAAACAGAGCCTGAATTTCCTGCTAAAAAACTCAGAGAAGGGGAGAGCAAAGCTAAAATTCGGAACTCAGCTTAGCCAGCACTTGGAATGCAATGAAAATCAATTATATGTAGCTTTTACAGAATATAGAGCAACTTTAGAATATAAAGCAGCTTTAGAATATAGGACATAGAATATATATTAAAATATATAGCAACTTTAGAATATATAGCACCTTAAAAAAGCTGTATCTCACCTTATTTTGCAGATTTTAAAAGAGCTGAAACCCCTGGTGTGGGTGTTCCTGGTCCAGAACGTGCCTGAGGTGCTTTATCTCATCTACCTGCTGTACACGGTAAGGGCAGCAGGGCTGGGGGGCCTCACCCTCCTCCTCCTCAGGGCCAGGGAGCTGCTTTGCCCTTCCTGCAGCTGCTGCTGGATTGCAGGGCAGCAGAGCCCATCCTGCCTGTCCAGGGCCAGCTCTGCAGCACAGGGATGCAGTCAGGTTGCTCCTGAACTGATCAGAGGGAGGCTCTGGGAGTCCCTGCAAAGAATGATGAGGGAAAGATGAAACAAATTCTTGTTCAAAATACAAAACTCCTCAAAAATACCTCCCCCTCCCCTCCTTCACACAAGCCTCAAGTGGTGCCAGAGCATTTGACCAGGGCTCAGTTGTTGTATTTTAAAGAATTTCTTAGGCAGCACCCACAGCTGTGGATCCTGCTGTAGCCAAAACAAGGCAGTGCAAGCCCAACAAAGCCCAGTTTGGGGCAGGTTTTTGGCTCTGTCCCACTGATAAAACCTTTATCAATGAGCACTTCCCAGCAGGTGTGAGAGAGGGGAGCCAGGGCAGCCAGGCTGGGCAGGGCTGGAGTGCTGAGAGTGCCAGTGCTGCAAATCCTTCCCACCCAAACACCCAGGGATCACCAGCCCCAGCCTCACTCATCACATGCAGCTCCCCTTTACTGCAGGCTGTTTGTGCTGGCACAGCCCAGCACGACTCCACACTGTCTGTGCACCCTGAAATCAGAAAGGCACAGCCCAGCAGGACTCCACACTGTCTGTGCACCCTGAAATCAGAAAACTCACCTGGTTCCAAAGTCACCTGTTGGGTTTTTCTTTTGTCTTTTCCCCCGTTCCTACCTGGTGGCTCCTCTCAGAAATGCAGTTGCAGGTTGTGGCTCCAAGGCTTTGTGGTGATGGTTTGGTGTCTCCCTTTCCCTGCAGGTGATCAGGGAGTGGGGCAAAGGCAATTCTTACACCCTGGAAGCTGCTTTCATCACTGGCTCCTGCATTTCTGTCACAATCAAATCCGTTCTGCTCTGGGCTCTGCTTCACGTCTACCGCAGCTTCGGGCAGGGGCTGAGGGAGAGAAGTGAGTACCCAGAACTGCTCTGGGAGGTGGAGCTGTTCTGTGCCAGTCACAGGGAAATCCTCAACAGATCCCAAATGAGCAGCTCTGCAGCCCCAGAGTGACCAGGCTGCCAAAGCTCAGAAGTTGGGTGGGACAGATTTGGCTTTTCCCTGGAGAAAGTTGATGCCAACCTGAGCAAGAATTGCTGCTGTCCAAAAAAATCCCACCTGTGTGAGCAAATCTGTGCTTGCAATGTTTGTGTCACACACAGTAAAGGGCCACTGATGTGACACAGCCCCAGGGTCTCTGACTGAGCTCCCTCTGTTCCCACAGTGTTTTCCTCCTATGGAAGGATCGACTCCTGAGCCCTCCCTGTGCAGCTCCCACAGAGTGAAGCCACCCCAGAGCCCCTGCCCTGCCCTCAGGGTGGCACCAAATGTCCCTGTGCCAGGATGGAGCAGGGACAGGAAGGTGACACTCGTGTCCTGGAGCAGTGCAGGTGGCACAGAGCTGAAAGCAAACCCTGTTTGGAAATCGCCAGCACCTTCCACTGCTTTTCCTGCTGCTCTGGAGGCCCAGGGCTCACACACTGCTCCTTTCAGTGCTTTCTGCCTGGCAGGCACAAACATGAAGGAAATGTGCACTGCCACCCTGTGTACCTGAGTTCAGCAGGGCATTGTGCTGCCCAGCTGGGATCTGCTCAGAGCAGCCCAGCCCTGATGCTCTGGTGGCAGTGGTGTCCCCTCTGGCTTCAGAATATTGCCATTATTTTTTTGTTGACCCCAGGTACACATGGCAAATGCTCCCTGTAACCAAGGTGCCACTTCACACCAGGGGACTGTTACAATTAAGCCTTTAATATTGTAATTTAAAAGTTTGGTATTTTATTGACTGGAACCTTTAAGTACTGGCTATTTTGTAATAAAGCATAAGCACAGTTTGTGTTTGGATAATTATTTCCCATGGAACAGCACCAATTCAATGGGAAATCCCTTAAAAAACTCAATAGGGAAGAGGTTGGGACTGGAATTCCTGGGTGCTGTGGACATTGCCACTACACTTCTCTTCAGACACTGCAAAAAGCAATTAAAATTAAAAACTTATCACAGCTTATTAGGGAGGTTTACAAGGATTCTGTAAAATTGCTGTAATTTTTTTCTCCTCATCCTGACAATCTATTTGAAGGCAGCTCCTCACATCCCTCTCAGCTGCTGGAATGGGTTACACATTAATTATGAAATCAAAAAACTCATTAATCTCAATCCCATGGGAAAAATGCCCAGAACTTCCTCAGAAGTGATGAAATGTACCTGAGGAATTTAAACCTCATTTGCAAGTGTGCAAATACAAGTGTGCCACAGGCATTTCAACCCCACTTTTAACCCTAAACTTCCTGGATATAAATTATCAGATTATTTGACCAGCTTATCTGACCCTTATCTATTTGACCCTTACCTATTTCTTTCCTCATATTTCTATTATTGGGCCTTTAAAACAGAATTTAATGCAGCCCAGCTGGTTGTACACAAGATTTGTTTCAAGACAGCAAATCCAGCAATTATTTTAACATTTCTGAGGAAAACCTGATATCAAACATTCCAACAAGCCCTGGGTGTATTCCCACCAAGAGATCCCACTGTCCCCAGGGAAATGTCAAACCCCACACACAATTCCAAACAACTGAACTGATTGGGAATTCACTATTTTCTATTCTCCCCAATCAAAGGGCAAATCGACCAATCCAACTTTACAAAAAGGTTTTATTGAAAGGATTGAAAAATATTTTGTTTCTCAACAATATTTAAAACCAAGTTTTCAATATGTTAACAATATGTAACAGGATTTTTTTAGCTTTTAAAAATTCAGTACACTGCTTTATTCCCTACTACAGTTGGTAACAACTTCTTCCATTTCTACCAGAGGATAACTTATTTTTTTTCTTTTTAAAAACAAATTAATTTCCCAGCTTCCATTTTGGCCCTTTGTAGATGAAAGGATTTGTAGGTGCCAGTGACTTACAAAGCCTTTTATTAAAAACTCTTAATCAGCAAACCTCTGTTTTTTAGCACAGTTTGACCAAGTCATTGTCAAGAAGCTACATTAGCACAAGGAGGTTTTATTGCCAATAAAGTGAGGTGCATTCCAGCTTTTTCTGCCTCAGCTCCTGGAGCAGTGGAAGTGCAGAACTCCAGGGCTGCTGCAGCCTCACCCTGCTCAGGCTGCAGATTAAAAGCCTTGGAAGGGACTTGGTTCACTCAGATTTGTGATGGATTAACAGAGAGAATCAAGGCAGCTTTTGGAGAACCAGGACTGGATCCCTGAGCCAGGGCTGCAGCTCTGCCTGGGCCCAGCACCCAAAAATGCCTTTTGGCAGCAGAGCTCTGTGCAAGCAGAGCTGCAGCAGCCTCAGAGGCAGCAATGCCTTTGCAGCAGGTGATAAATTGAAAGAAGAAATTTCAAGCCAACCCCTAATGTAGATCTAAAGTAGTTCAGTACACTTTGATTACAGATTTCATTACCTGTGCACTCTGAAAATTAAAAGTCTGGCAATTTAGTCAAGAATAGCTTTACTATTATAAAAAGCATAAATAAAAAGTGCTGAATATAGTTTTATCTTTAAAAAAATACTAGATAAGGCTCATAAATCATTTCACCTCTGCAAAATGATTTTCCACTCCCCAGTGTGCCTAGAACTGCTCATTCTGCACTCATCCACACGCTCCTCTAGACACCACACCCTGCTCCTTCTCTCAATTATTGCATGTTTAAATAAAATAGTTCCAAAGCAAAAAAGCCTGACACTTCTCTAGCTCCAAAAGTAACCAGTTATCAAATAACTGAATACTCACTCAGGAAACCCGTAAGCAGCTTCAAAACAGTGATAAAACAACGACTGCAGATTCAAGTGAAAGAGAAATCCCAAAAGCTCTCTGGATATTCTCCAAGATATCCCAAAATCCATCTGGTTTTGACCAAACCAAACCAATATTCTATGTTACAAAATGTACAAACCAAGTGTTCATTAACACCAACGCTGTTGGTTGTGATTTTAAATCATTACCAAGAGTTTGTTTCTCTTTTCTGGAAAAGTGCTCTCACCTGCATTTCACGAGCTCAGCCTCCCAAAGGGATGAGACATTATTGAATTACTGAAACCACACCAGGTCAGGCAGAGGCTGGGAATGAAACCATTTCCCATTTCCACTTTGGACCACAGACACAACGTAAGACAATCATGAGAAATTTCAGCAGAGATTCTCCCTCAGCCCCAAGGAGCTCCCACCTCAGGCAGGAAATTCATTCCTTGGCTTCGAGCAGCTCCTGGCCCTTCCTTCAGTGAGCGATGCAGCAAGACTTGAAAATGCTGAAGTTTGGATAAAATGATCAAGAGACTGCACCACAGAGAACATAAATGTAAACATTATCCTCGGGTTTGCAATTTTGCAGTTTTGAAGTACAGTACAAACCCCTTCCCCCCACCCCAACCAGTTCTTTTGGTGGGGGTTTGGTTTTTGTTTTTTGTTCTTTCATAAAAGCACATACAATAAAATATGTACAGAGAGAAGTTAGAAACATTTGAAAGCATCTTAAAAAAAGTGAATGTGAGACTTAGAATAATCTTGAGTGTGCTGAAGGCACCGTTGCTACTCCACTGGGAATGTGTGCTCTCATTTCCCACCCAGCAATGCAGAATCCCACCCTGGGCTGCTCAGCACCAAGAGCTGGAAGGTATCCATGGAGGTTGAGGCATTCAGGATCTCAGAACTGGATATTTTCTTCAGGACAACAGTGAATTCAGTAGCAAGTGAAGTCCAGATTCTTCTTGAACACTTGGAGAATTATTATTATTATTATTTTTTAACATGATAGTCTCTAATGCTACCATTTATGCCAGGGAATCAAACAGAAATAATAACAAAAACCAAGACATGGATGATTCCCACCAAGAGGAAGTGCAGAGCTGGGAATTAGCTCAGCCACAAATAATCAATGCTCATCCCTGCTGTTTGTGGCTGACAGCCAAGGCTCAACCACTGCTCAAATGGGCACAAGAGAAAGAAATGTATATATAAAAAATATATACTTTTTATTACTAATTCCATCTATTCATAAAAAACATCCTTTGTGGATGTTTCTTCAGTGTGTCACACTTGCAGTAAGTAAGTAAGAAAGTATTTTCTGGGCAAGATAACAAAGAGCTATTTTTTTTAAAAAAGAAAACTTCTCAGACAGAGCCTTTCTGTTCCTAGCAGTGTTAAATGGAGTTATAACCTATCAAATGGAAGATTTTAATGCCACTTTTCCCTGGTGTAGCTACATTCAGCCTACCATGGAACTGGTAAGTCAGAGGTTACAATCAAATCTGCAGATGTGGTTTTGGACAGCAGTCAGGAATAACCCACTGCTCACTGGAAGGAAATTCAGAACCATCAGAGCCTTCCACTCCCCT